TATATATATACAATTGTGGATATGTGTGTGTCTCTGAAAACGAAGCTGTCATCTTTGTAATATTGTTAATTTTGATCGAGTCGTTAGATTATCAACGGCAGTTAGAATAGAAGTATGTTGCTGCTATTCCAGAGTTATATATATATATATATATACACTACCGGTTGTTCATTTAGGAAAATTATGGTTAAATTTATTAAAAGAACTCTAACGCAGTCAGACTATTGCCTCGTCAAAGTGCGTGAGCTAGGAGGAAAAGCAGATATGAAAGGAAAATTACGCTCTCGTCTCTGAAACTGAACATTTAAAAAGTAGCAGGAAACCAAAAATATATTTTTAGAAAAGGTGATGACAATACAATACTGTAATGACTCTGACAATTATAAGCAGATCTGTACATCAGAAAAAGTGCAAACGGCAAAACGAAAGCCCCCTTTTCTTTCATTCAGTTAATATTGCTGATTTAATAACAGAGCCTTGTTTGTGTAATAAAAGAAAAAGTCAAAACACAATCAGATGTCAAAAAGGCTTATAGAAAAAATAGAAAAATAACTAGATTGTAATATTAATAATGATGGTGATGAAAATTTGGCTAACACTGTTTGCGGGAGATATATAGCAACAATATGGTGCGAACTTCTTCATTTTGCTTCACAGCCAGCCAGCCAGCCAGCCAGCCAGTCAGCTAGGTAACTTACAAAGGAGACATGGCTTAAATAATGGTCTTAGCATGTGTTTTCGGGCATGCTATTAATAATTATTATGGATTGCATTAAGATATTAGTAAGTCATCGATATCAAGCAAGTGTCGCCATAAGCAGACAAAGAAGGCGTTTGGCGCTTTCTTGTTAGACAATCGGTTGCACTACACATTTGAATTACGCGGGTCTCGTCAATGATTCAAATACAAAAAGATAATTACTTTTATGCAAAGACAGAGACCCATAACAAGGTATTATAGAGTACGTGTGAATGCTGCTAGACCCCAGCGGTGGGAATCAGAGTATTTAGTCGACATAAAATAATGATGGTAATAGCGTGGATAGCCTTAAACATGATGCCATATGTCTACTATCGTAGATTGTCGATTACGAGTGCGACCTTTTTCATGAACGTCTGACATGAACAGATCTAATCTGATCGTTATCTAATCTTTGTCTTGGGGTGAAACGCGTATATGGGCCGTGTCTTGAACAGACTGAGAAAAGTATCGAAATAATGTCGTTCGCATCTACTCCCGGTGAAAGTAAGCTAATAGATGATTTCACCTCTCCATAGGATGTTAGCAAACAATAAATGGACCAGGGTACCTGTACATTAATGAAAAGAATGGAGAAATAATCATAAATAGCAACCCTAATGGGCATATAATATAGAAATAAAAATAAGGGATATATTATAAACGCAAAAAAGAGTATCAACCGACACACCAAACCGACGGTGATGATTTAACCTGTTAATAGCAGTATAAGAGTACTATGTGTGTGATTATCGAGGTATATATATATATATATATATATATATAGTAAAGGTATGCGTGTCTATAAAAGAATCGGTCATGATGAGGAAAAATGATGTAATGATAGTGATAATGATAACGGTGATTTATAAAAGTGGTTGAGATCATCGTATTAACAATAACGAGATCACGATGATGAACACCCAACGACAGCAACAACCATTACTACTGAGAGGCCTTTCAAATAAAAAGCTTCTATATTTTCCTGTATTTTGATGTGTCTTACTTTTTCATGACATGAGTAACACAGTAAGTTGCTCATTGCTGTACATTGTACCAAGAAACTATACATGAAGGGTTCCAATGTAAATAATTCATTTTTTTACTCATCAAAATCTCTAAATTTCCTTGACGCCCCCGATTATCTGACAAAATATTATAGAGAAATTCGCACTGTCAGCATGCCAAAAACTGGCTAAATGAAGGCTAAATAATATGTGGGCGACGACAGGGTCTTTGCAAGCAAAAACACATAAGTATTTTTTCCAATTGTAGGCTGTATATGTTTTTAAAAAGTTGATACTTTACACAATTCATGTGGTGTCTCGGAAACGGGTTTTCGCAACCTGAGCACTCCAAAATTTAGATAAAAGGATACTAAACGAAGTAAAGGTCAGGGCTTTTCGTAGGTGTAAGTCTATTTTGATATCTGTGCTACTATAGAATCTATGAAAGCGAGATCTGTCTCACTTCGTTTAAAAATGCAGTTCGGCTCTGCTAGGAGCTACAGCATAAAGAAAGTTACTTAGCTCTATAATATATTCTCTATAGAAAAGGTCGATTTTCTCAGTTTTAGCTAAAGAGTACCTACGCTTGCCTGCAAAATACCTATTTATGTCGACATAAAATAAGACTTAATTACTAAGCAAATTGACAATATGCGACAGGAGTTAGGATAGCTTCGGCACAGTAAATGTCATCTTATACGTGAATAACGTTATTATATAGGCGGCACTCATTTATGAACAGTAAGTATTGTGATTTTTATCTTAAATTGTAACGTTTTTGTTATCGGTGAAAATTCGGTATTTATCTTTTCTGCTTCAGTATCGTAGACATCATAACCTGCCAGCAAAATTACTGTGTTCAACTGTGGCTACGATTTGATAGTTGTGACTCATTGTGGGCGCATACAGTGTGTCCTAAAAGCTAGAGTAGATGCTGCATTCCACAACAAAAATTGCGGTCGTATTTGTTTGCGTGTATGGGAAGGGTGTTCATCAACCGATAAGTTCAAAATTAACCACAGCAAAACAAACATTTAACGAATTGGAAACCTCTATATGATTATACTATACTGAGCAAAACTTACTTTGAGCGCATAAGAAGTATTTTACCAGACGCTTCTGCCATCCATTCATCTTCCAAATGAATTTCTATATATAACCAAATTCTGTTGTATTATTGTTTTATTAACACATATGTATGGTCATTTTCGTGTACGCGCTGATTTCTACATAACTACTATACTACACTATACGATATTGCATAACTTGAAATAAGTAGACTTGAGTTACAATAGCTAACCTGAGGCATTTAGCTGTATCTTATTGCAAGCCTTGAATACCCGATCCGGTATTAGAAAACTCAAAGCTATAGCTTTTCAATATAGACTGGAAGACTGCAACAATGTCAA